GACCGGGCCAGGGGAGGGGCGGGGCGGGGGGAGGAGAGAGGAGAGGAGGGCACTGTCCCGATTTCTCGGTACGGTTAGATGCGAGATCTCTTCTTCAACGCTCGTTTGAAGGAGTTGAAGTCGCTCATTCATCGGTCTCGCCGGGCTTTTCAATCGCCTTCTTCTACCCCGATTCTTTTTTCCACCCTCCTCCACTTTTTCTGTCTTGCCCTCCCCTCCTCCGGTCCTCCGCGCCGTCCTCGGTATCTCTTCCAGACGCCGACGATGGGGTACGGCGTCCGCTAATGGGAAATATTGCGCGATTTCGTAACGATCGACGGGATATCGATTGAACTGCAACTCCCGGCTGCTCCGGATTTAACCTACGACCACTTTCGCTGATGCGCTTCACTGAATTACTTTGCCGTCGATCGTTTATTGGATTTAATCGAGTCTTGTGTTCTTTGTCTGCGTTCGCTCTAAGGAGAGCCGGACGTGGAAATCGGTTTTTGAGTGAGATCTTTTCCGTGGTGTAGTATTTTTATAGAAATGAACTTTCGCTTTTTTTATAATGGTCGTACATTTTTGGAGAAATGAGTTTTAGGAATGTTACTGTTATAAGGTGATTAGGAGCTTACTATAATAGGTGTAGCACTTTTTTTCTTAGGTTCTTTGCTTTCCTTTGAATTATAATATCTGATTATTTTGTTATTGTAATATTGTTGTGTTATTGTGATATTATTTATGTCTTATTACAATAATATAGGAGCTTAAAACTTATTTCTGTTTTTTCTTTTTTTCATGAACACAGATTTTTGTCTGGCTCTCTTCTAAGAGTTAATGATTCTTAGGTACTTTGTTTTCCTTTGAATTATAATCTCTAATTATTTTATTATTGTAATATTGTTGTGTTATTGTGATATTATTTACGTCTTATTGCAGTAATATAGGAGCTTAAAATTCATTTCTCTTTTTTCTTTTTTTCATGAAAACAGATCTTTGGCTCTCTTCTAAGAGTTAACGATTGACAATGGAGGAGTAATATTTTGTTTATATTCGAAAACGGTGAATAAAAATAAGAAGCATTATACTTCAGATGGTTTAAACATTCGTTCCTCTCGCGTGCAGACCGTGCGGTGTTGAACTTTCAAATTCCACGGAAATCTATGGAGATCAGTCATATAGGAATCACCATATTTTCTTAAATTCAATTGTCTTCTTCCACCACGATTCTTCACTCCTACCCTCGCTCCTCTCCCATTTCATTCTAATTTATTCCATCTTTATTACCTCTCCTCCAGTCGCAGCGGCGAGGTACGCTAATGGAAAATATCGCGCGATCTCGTAACGATCGCCGTGACATCGATCGAACTGCGGCACCAACTCGTCTCGCCCGCCGTAACGCCGCTATACTACTTCAAACAAACATCAAATCCCTTCCAATACCCCTTACACGTAAACCACTCAAACTTAACAATAGAACTGCCAAACAGGTCAAAATGACCTATTTCTGATTCCTCCTTTTTGCAATTATTAACTATTAACCGTTTGCACTCGAACTTTCGCTTCATATATTTATTATTTTCTAATGAAACTATTTAACTATTGATTCTATCAAATAGAAATGACACACGAAACAGTGGACAGAATTATTTCAATACTTCATATCTAATTAAAATATATAATACATGACATCGAATATTGAATTTTATTTCGCTATATCACATAATTATCTCGCAAGGCTCAACACTAGAACTACCGAGCATTTAATACAATTAATATACAATTCCTATAAAAACTGTAACAATAGATTATTTCCAGTTTCTTCAGGCACTCATTATAGTACCGAAACTATTTATTTTCAAAACCATTTCGAATATTCAATGCTTCGAAGATATCAATAATTTCCAAACAAAAAGATCGAAACCAGTCATTTCGACTGTTACGGTAGTTCTAGTGTTAAAGAATTTCGTCTCGAGTGCAAAGGGTTAGAATTTCATTCAGCAAACTGAACTGTAACTCAACGAAAGCTTCAAAAACTCATAATATCCACAGCCGAATTTCAAACTGTCCAACCGCTCGTTCCTTCAAAAAGATTGCCATCCGACCAAAAATCAAGCAAAATCAAACATAGCAATCCGACTCCCAACTCTCCAGCAAGAAAAACCATAACAAACCCAAACATTACAAGACCATAGACAAAAGCATTAAAACGGACGAATCGCGAAAGACCAAAATTTGATTTCCATCCGGAATCGACGGCGTCGCGCGCCGTTCCCTCCGGTCTGATTTTTTTTTTACGGGATTCTCCGTCCTCCACCCCTCGCGCGGCCTCACTCTCCGGCGGCGATGCTTTTTTTTCGTCCCGTTTCGTTTCGGGACACGGTCGATATTCCGCGGAGCCCGGGTATTGTAAATTACAAAGGTGGAAAGTTTCCGTGCGACAATGCGCGCACTGCGAAACGTTAACAACCGGCGGGAATGAATGTTCGACGGCTGACGGGGGTGGAAGCGGACGATTCGAAAGCGGGCGGCCGTCATTGTGCGGTAAATAATAAGCGGCTCCTTCATTAGAAACGCCGGGAATCGCGGAAAAATGGTCCCGCGAGTCGAGGATCCTCTCGTAAATAAGGAGGCGAGGTCCTCCGGTTTCCAACCCCCCGACCCCCCTAACCCCTTGGCAGCGGCTGGATGTTATAGAGACACGTGAAATTCGTTTCCGGATGGCTGGGCTCTCGTCCTTTGCGGTTAACGCGGCTCGTTTATCAAAAGCCGCGGCCCTGTTACACGGAACAGCGCCGAAATTCATCTCGAGATGTTCTTTACCTAGCCGCCGCGACGCGGAATACCTTGTTTCTTTCCGCGTGCCGTCTGGCGTCTCCCACTGTAACGTGATTTATCGATGCTTCGGGACTTTGGATGATTATTCTGTACTTAACGCGTTGCTGGACGGGTAACGAGCTAACACGTTCCACGTGTACCACGTGTACAATGTTTGTGAGAGAATATTTTCAACCCTTTGCACTCCAGTTTTTCACTGGAGATATTCAGTATTTTCTAATGAGATACCGGTGACATTAAGATTGAATTAGGAAATCTCATATGCGTTGAGGAAAATTATTTTCTTTCGATATTTCGTACATTGATATTATACAAAGTGTAATATTAAATTTTGAAGTTTGTAGTTTTGCTGTATCAAATCATTTGACTTAGAGGCGCCTTGGAGTGCAGAGGGTTAATGGATATATGGTCATGGATAGCGGTGTACGTTACGAAGCAGTGAAAACAAAGAAACAATATCAAAATATCTAAAAATGACCAGAAACTTGAGTATTATCATTATTATTATTATTATAACTTATTATTCTATTGAAAAAATCGATACAGTTCATAAACAAAATATAACCGAAGTTCCCGTGGCACGTAAAACTTGGAACATTTGGTTTCGGTGCATTGTTACGAACTATAGGCATCGGTGACATGTTATTGACGATAATTGCAGCAATGCTTGCTTAGATTAGACGTGTATTATAGATTAGTAGGTGAATTATAATTCAACGATTACATCTTCTGTTAGTGATGTATTAGATAAACGTGATTATTTCACGTTCGTTTAATATAGTTCAGTGTTTTGATACGGTACTAAGAAATTCAAATAGATTATTAACACTGGAACTACCGTACCAGTCAAAATGTTTCGATTTTTTTGCTTAGCAATTATTGATATCTTCGAAGCATTGAATATTCGAAATGATTTTGAAAATGAATAGTTTCATTTCAGTACTATAATGAATATCCAAAGAAACTGAAAATAATCTATTTTTTCTATTTTTTCTAGTGTTAATTTAAGGTTAATAGAATATTGTAGATTATTGACTTTTACCAGAAGCTACTCGAGGTTTCATTAAGATTCAGAATGATCGACGACGAATGAATCGGCAAGGGTTGAAATCTCGAAGATTCAAAGTACTCGCGACCATCAAAGACACACGTCACGCGCCATTGATTGACATGTCGATGCGTCTACACGTAATTACTAGTTCCCATTACACTAGTAAAAAGAATGAAGCGTTTTACAAACGATCCCCTCGATTGAATTCGACACTTAAAGGGCTAAAAGTGGAAACGTCCCTGCCGCGCGAGCGACATTGACGTTTCAAAGGGAAGGGCCGGTATTTCACGCGTCGATGGTCCTGCAGAGAGACAAAACGAGGGAATCTGTATATATATATATATATGTGTGTGTGTGCGTACGAAGAGAGAAAGAGAGCAAAAAGGAAGGAAGGAAGGAAGGAAGGAAGGAAGGAAGGAACAATAAATTTTTCAAATTTATTGCAGTGTCGTTCTACGGGGCGAGCTACATTCATCTGCCCGTGCAAGAAGCGAAGGGCGCGACCGATATCAGCTTCCGGTTCCGAACCCACCTCGCGGACGCCATGCTGCTGTTGGCCGCCGGCAAGACGGATTACTGCCTGATCAAACTCGAGGCCGGAAGATTGAAGGTTCGTTTGCCCCTGATTGCTTGCTTTCTATTAATAGGCCTCCTGTTTTCGGGGCCTGCGCCCCTCTAGTCGTTAACCAAACCGCACGTGCCGCCGACGTCGCGGCCGTTAGGCTGCGTCGACGGTGACGGGATCCGTTGCACCTTCGATTACTGATTCTACATTCGATCGACGTGATTTAAGTATGATTCCATGAGTGATTGTTAACCCTTTGCACTCGAGAGGTGATATACCACCTGATTTCATAGAAAACTAAAATTTGATATTTAACCCTTTGCACTCGAGAGGTGATATACCATCAGATTTTATACAAAACTAAAATTTAATATTTAACCGTTTGCACTCGAGAGGCGCCTTTCAGTCGCCATTTGATTTGACCGAAGAAAATTGTAAAATTAAAAATTCAATATTAAATTTTATATAATGCACGAACACATGGAACATTGAAATAAAATAGTTCTGTTATTTAATTTATGCAAGGTATTTCTTTATGTTAATTGCAAGAAATATCACTGACATTTCATCAGAAAGTAATGAATATTTATTGGGAAAAATATTCTCGAGTGCAAAGGGTTAATGTTATACCTCGTATAACTGGTGAATTTAAAAAGTATTAAAATGAAATTACTTTGTTCCTTGATGTACCTAGAATTTCCCTTCGAGTTAGTTTCACGAAATGTCTTTATCTAATTAGAAAGTGTTAAAATATTTCTAGTGAAAAATCGAGTGCAAAGGGTTAACATTGTGTACTGGATAATTTTCAGAAAACTGAATGATGGCAATTTTCACTGAGGTCAACTCATATCAATGTACATAGAAAAACTCAAATATGTTATGTAATCTATTTTAAATAGATAGTCAATTTGAATTAAATTTTATGTTTCTTTCAATGCTTGGTAATTAGCGAAGTTGCATTAAGTGTCTTTATATAAAAACGTTAATTTGACTTTCCCATCGTTACATTATTAGACATCTGCATTCGACGTCGCTTATCTTGCATGTTACGATTGTTTTCAAGTAACTCAGAAGCGTCAGTCATCGGTAACTGACGTACGCTTGATGTGTTAATCCTTTGCACTCGAAAGGTAACTCTCAATCACTCGATTTGACACAGTGAAAATATAAATTCTGATATTTAATGCTGAACTTATAATATCTCGATACGTGAAACATTGAAATAAATTATCTTTGCTCCTCAATATACTTGTCACCTCCGTTCCAGTTAACTTTAACCCCTTAGTATACTATTTCCTGTCGCTACAAAGCTCGTGTAATATTCTAGTATCGACAGTTCGGAAGAAACGCAACAAAATTGTCCGTTCTACTTCAAATGGTTCGCAATAGATGTTCAAAATAGATGTTCGCTTTGATCCGTGGGTAACGAACAACATTGATTGCCGTTAACACTTTCACGTTCGGTGACACCAACGTGGTGCCATTAGCAAACCGGTCGTTATTTGCCGATGATACCAATGCGGTGCCATTTGCATCCCGTTTATTATTTGCGGTGACTTCAACGTGGTGCTATCGGAAATTACACGTATTATTAAATACACGTATTACACGTATCATTTAACAAAAAGCAGCTAAGTTTATTACGTTGCAATGAATTTTACATTCTATATCTATACATTTCAATGAACAACTTTGCAAAAACTTCCAGCGACAGAGAAGAAAATTTTTGTGAACCGTGCAGACGTGAAAGTGTTAAATTAGCCCAGAAATCTTCGTGACGAGTCTCACTCGTCGTTCCACGAGAGGTTAAAGAATATTACCTCGTCAAGAAACGAGAAACATTCCCAGAAACTTCCCTGTGCGAAGGATAAGACATTCAACGGAGAGTAAATCCCGATAACACCCTGAGAGGCTAAATCGATACGAGCCAAAGCAAAGTTTTAGTCCTCGGTGGCGATATTCACTGAAGCCCCGGTCTCTCGTGCAAAAAACGGGTTAACGAACCGCGGCCGTTCGATTGACGGAACAACGAGGCGCGTTCGAATCGCTCTAAATATCGGTTGCCACTTATCGCCGCGTATAAATCTCGATCGCGGGGGCGAGTTGTCGCGGGTCGCGAAGAAATTAGACCCGCTTTGATACGTGGAAAGGGGTCGAGCGAGCTTGGCGAGCGTCGGTTAAAGCACGCGACAACGAGTGCCGTAAA